GTTTAAACGAGTCATTGTAGTGTATTTTACAAAGGTTAGTTAGATGATTCCGTTAATAGTGTTTTTTTTTATTGTAAGTTTTATTTGAGTAAGAAGTATGTGGTAATTCTTTATTTATTACTAATGGGTTTCCTATATTTTCACTTTAGAATACTGTTCCAGGTTATAAATAATTCCTGAAGAATTATCTAATTCTTTATTAATTACTAATAAGTTCCCTATATTTTCACTTTAGAATACTGTTTGGTTATAAGTAGCCTAATTCCTGGATAATTATTTGATAATTATTTATTAATTACTAATGGGTTCCTTGTATTTTCACTTTAGAATATTGTTCCAGGTTATAAATATTTCCTGAAGAATTATCTAATAATTCTTTATTAATTACTAATAAGTTCCCTATATTTTCAGTTCCCCTCAGTTGTTGCCTAAAATACATAAATTTACTCAATATGCTGAGGAAAACAGACACACACAGTACTGTATATAAAATATAAAAACTAATCTGAGGTTAGTTTTGTATGACTGTTCATTAGTTACTACTTAGTTATTTTTCTTGAACCTTAATTAGTAGATAATTAGTATAGTACTTCTTCAGGAGGCATGACAGAATTCATTCATTATTGATTAACTAACTGTAACTAAAAACAATCATAAAATTCTATTACATACTGATTAGTTAATACATCTTCCTTAGTAGTCAACAGCAGTGAAGAAGTAGTTAATGAAGAATTACCTAGTTCTTCAATAATTCCTTATTAGTTATGCAGTAAGTAAGAAACAGTATTCTAAAGTGTTACCATATTTTTCTGTCTTTTTCAGGACACAGGACGTGAGGTTGAACGTTTGTGTTCCTTCTTGGGTTTGTCCACCTCAGTAGAAGAGAGAGAGAACATAACAAAGGGGGTTCAATTTGATACCATGAAACAGAACAAGATGACCAACTATTCCACAGTCCCAGTCATGGACTTCAAGATCTCTCCCTTCATGCGGAAAGGTTAATAAACTACTCAATCATCTAATTTAGTCCCTCTGAATTCCATCCTTTAACTTATTTTCTAACATATTTTCTTTCCAAAAGGCAAAGTTGGAGACTGGAAAAATCACTTCACTGTGGCACAAAATGAACAGTTTGATGAAGTCTACAAACAGAAGATGAAGAATACCACTGTCAAGTTCCGCACTGAGATTTAACTTTAGACTTGAGTTCTCAATCTTTCTCCAGGGGCCAGTAGCATAAACTTTACCATTATTTTAAGACAGTGTCTTAAAATCTAGTATGACCCACAAGCAGTTAATCAAGGGGCATTCAGTCTTACTTTTCAGTTTCAAATTAGGCCAATACGTTTTTATGCAACTGGTCCAAGGGTAACTAAATAAATGATCAAGTGTCTGACATAATTATATTCCAATTATAGAAATGTGTCCAGTTATTAAATACATTATATAAATAAGCCATTCATAAGTTGATTTCTGTGAAAACCAGTGATGTGTCTTTTTAGTCTTATTGCCAGTCTGTTTGGGGGGAATTGTCAGAAACATGTCATTATGGTGCCAGTAGTGGCCTAAAAAATTACACAATGCAACTTTTGTTACAATCAACATGGCCACAGTTGTATTTACAAACAACTAAATAAATAAAACATAATTGAAAATTTGTGTTTTTGTTATTCGTTATTTATAATTTCATGATAATATGACTAGCGTAGTTTTTATGTCAGACACAATTAACTATGACATTTTGCATGTATTTGTGTTTTTACCTGGCAAAACAACTTGTGCTCTCACACTCTGGATTTTTTTATTTATATCACTGTATGAGATTTTGATGGGTCATACAACTCTTGGAATTCCATGGACCCTTTTCACAGAACATGATGACACTTTTTCCACAGATATCAACATCACAAATCTATAGCATTTTGGTCACACTTTAGATTAGGGTCAAATTCTCACTATTAACTATAATTTTTTTTTACCTCAATTAACTCCCAATTACTGCTTAATAATAGTTAGTAAGGTAGTTGTTAAAGCTACTATATGTATTTTTTTTACCGCTAGGGGTTGCTAACCTCTTACAATAACAAAGGTGTAGGTTGATGACGCACAAAAGCGGAATTATGGAACTTGTCGTCATGCCGAAGGATCTAATAATGTTTATGGATGAGTGAATACATTGATGTTTTTAACGTGACATATGAAGCAGGTCGCGATTGCTAATGAGAGACAGATATCAGCGTCACACGCGAGTCCCGCGGATATAAAGTAACAAGGACATTTCATTCTACCGAACTACCCGCAAGTGCTGATTTAATACTCACACAGGTCAGTTTATTTGACGAATTAAACTTGTGAGGTAACGCACCGCTGTTTCACTTGGTCTACGCTATCACACTAAACTGCATTTGAGTGTGTTGAAAGTTATCATGTTAATCTATGTGTTAGTTTGTTTGTATGAGACCACGTAGATCAACATTAGAATAACATTTCATCATGTTGAGCTATATAACATTGATTTGTTTTATGTACATTTGCTCACCTGTCTAATAAAGTACATACAAGAGTGGCGTCTCTGTCAAGTTTTTCACGGACGTGGAGCTCTCGGCATCTCGAAAACGCCACGCTGATGTTGATCCTCGATTTAGTTCTACCAGAAAGACTCGGGGGATAGAATAATGTATAAAGCATTAATTTATTGACAGCCCAGCAAGCAATTATTTATAAAGTTCTTTGGCGTTGGCCCCGTCCGTAGTGCATAATCCGAGGTTAGCGGATCTGCTTTTCCTGCCTGAAGACGAAGGCCGGGGTCGCAGCCAACCCCCAAAAGTAGGTGGATTATAGATCCACCGGGACGGGGCCCGCCCATCCCCAAAAAATGGTAACGGAAAGTATACCCACCGTTCGTGGATCCTGTAGTTCCTGAAAAATAGGAAAAGGAGTTGGATGAACGATTGATGTGGATACCTCATAGGCCTATAGCTTAAATATTAAGTTGGCTTGAAAAAGCCAACTTACTGATATTGTATTTCAACTTATTAGTGGGTGCTTGCCAAAGGCAAGGCACTCACTATTGTTATTGCTCATACTTATTAGTGGTGCTTGCCAAAGGCAAGGCATCACTATTGTTATCCGTCATACTTATTATTAGTGGGTGCTTGCCAAACGCAAGGCACTCACTATTGTTATTGCTCATACTTATTATTTTCTTCTTCTTTATTATTCCGCCAAAAGTTTGACGTGCTACTCCTCCCGCAGATTTTGTCACAGACACATGAATGAGGTGTCAAATCGTGCGGATTATTGAGGAATGATGTGCTATGACTTTTATAAGCGGTCGGGGGTACGGTGTTCGCCCCAGGGGCGAAAAGAAAACAGGCCGGTTGATTTTGCATGGCACTAGGCTATCAATTAAGAAGCCCTTATCCACCATGATGGCATGTCAGCGGTAAGAAGGTTAATGATCCCTCACTGTTTGAACAACTCTCGGTCACTAATAGACCATGCATAGAGTTCAGACACAAATGTTATTGCACCATGAGGTCCCATTCCTATTAAAGCTTTGAAGGTGCAGTGAGACTTATAGTTTGAAAAAAACTCACTTTGTAATAGCAAAGAGGAAGGTGTTTGGCAATCTTGCGATACATCATGAGTCATGAAAATTATGGAATTCGGTATGTATGATTAAACTAACTCTGATCGCTGTTGAAGACAACAGCAGCTGTTCATACTTATAATTATGTTAACCTACGTTGTTGTTATTATTTCGGTCGGTGTAGCCTACTTTTAGGCTGCCTAGACTACATGCAGCTAGCTTATACAACTCCAATAATATTTATCAACAACGTGGACTAGTGTTTTCAGGACAACGGCAACGCTATTACAAATGCTCATCACAGGCAATATAATCTTACCTTGTATAAAAGCGTATGTCCTCATCGGACCCAGCAAATCTCTGGAGACCAAAGTGAAGTATGATCTTGGTCTGGTCCAACTGCTTCCGTAGATCTTCTATCTTCCTTGTCATTGATGAGCTTGCCCCAGTTTTGCTTCAGCTTTTTAGCTGCTATGTTTTCAGTCAGTCTTCTGAAACTGTCAGTCACTTGACACTTGACAGGCAGCCAATGATAATTACAGGAGCAGAAAGAAAGGTTGTAAAGGGAAATTTAAAAGGAGTGAGGGACAGAAAGAGATAGAATGATTAATAATATTTTTTATTATTAAACATCTAAAAAGAAATTATTTTCTACCATGAACAGCCTAAATCCTAAAAAATAATGCTGGGTATAAAATGGTGTTGAAATACATTCCTAAGATTTTTCTTTACAGAGTTCCAGGATTTCAGAAAGAAAACAGCCTAGCTGGAACTAATCTGGAACCACAGGGGGAAAGTGGGGGACACTTCTTGGAGTCTGCAAGAAAAACACTAAAGTCCCGTACCAACCAAAAACTAGTATTTGAGGGGCTCCACTGGCCCTGGGAGTCTTATTGTCATAACATCATAAATCCATTAAATCAAATTTTTGTTAACAAAGTGTTTGTTTGTTTGTTTGTTTGTTTGTTTTCTAAAAGGTATGGCATAGTCCAGTGCTCTACTTAAAAAGCTATTAAGGAGAAAGAATTTGTGGATAAAGTAGTATATTATAGTGTAACAAAAGAATATCCACCTACATTGTGGGGGCCAGCCAACATCTCCATGAGGAAATAAGAACAATACAAGTCCATAGAAAGTTCAAACAAGTGTGTGTGTGTGTGTGTGTGTGTGTGTGTGTGTGTGTGTGTGTGTGTGTGTGTGTGTGTGTGTGTGTGTGTGTGTGTGTGTGTGTTTGTGTGTTTGACCTATATTATGAGGAACAAAGTCCTAATATTGTGGTGGATATTCAGACTTCAGGCCACACCCCCTGTGTGTAAGTGTGTGGGGGTGGGGTGGAGTAGGAGTGGGACTCAGATTTCATCTGTGATAATCAGTGTGAAAAAGTGAATAGAGGAAAGGCTGTCTGAACTTACATAACTTGTTTTTTTTTAGGTTGAGTGTAAAGTGCAGAGAGAGAGGGGGAAGGAGAGAGAAGATAAGCACTGCATTATTACACCACGTAATATAATTTAACACGGAAGAGCTGCATGAAACATTTGAGGAGAGCAGAAGAGAGGAGCAAACAAAAAGGATCAAGATATACACTTTTTCAACATAATGGAAATCCCAGACTTGTCCTCAGTGAGTAAATATATTTCTTGAAATTGTTTTCAGAAATAACTGAAGAAATACCTTACCTGATGTATAAATCAAAAGCTGTTTTATTCACACTTGGGTGTGAAAATTTGGGAATGAGGATGGGTGAGTTGAGGAATGAGAAATCATTGACAACATATGATTTGGAAATAAAGAAAATAACATGATTGCAGTTTAAAGGCACTACTGTACTTTCTGTAGAGTATATTTTAAATGGTGTAGTCTCATTTATCAACTTTGTCAGGGATATTTCTGCCATTAATCAACATTAGAAATATAATTATGAAATAATTGTGAAATATAATTTTATTTATAAAATTGATTGGTAATATTTTACAATAAGTGTACATAATCATGTGCTAATTACTTGAATTAATACTTCACCATGAACTAATGAGTAGTGAATCAAGAATGAGTAAAGGGCTATAAGGGGAAGGGGGAAATATTGTGGGAGTGGGTTAAGAATGTTCCTTCCTTTTTCCCCCCTTTTTCTTGTTACATCGATTTTCTGTATATTTGTTATAAATGCTAATGAATAAAGTATTTAACAAAAAAAGAATGAATAAGCTAACCTTAACTACGACCGGAGTCATATGGATTCATGCGTGTATAAAGGCAACCTAAATGATAGTTAATGCATTAATTAACATTTAGGGGTAAAGAAAATCAAATAGGCTCTATAATAATCGACAATAAGTACTCTGACTTTGAATAAAATGTAAATAATTGTAATTATATAATTATAATAATTATTGAATATCATGTGAATAATATTGTCCTAAATTAAATGTTTGCCATCTGCAGCTTTATGGCCTACACTGGATTAGATGATTAATGATTATTTTATCTAATCAAACTTAGAAAAGCACACTAATAATTTGAAAAATAACAACAATTTAACTCAACCTACTGGGTCGATCCAACCACTCCGTTTACTTTCTTTAGCTGAACCAGTATCTAAGAGTCTAAGTATTTTAAATCCATGACGCGTTTCAATGTAAAACTCTTGATGCTTTCTTAAACTGTTGAAAAGGAGCAGCAGGATGTAGGATGATGATGGTTCTGTACAAGACAGAAAACATCTCGGTTACGTATTTAACATCCGTTCCCTGAAGGAGGAAACGGAAACGGAAACGTTGGAACGAACTGACAAATTGGGATCTTAATTTATGACCTACACTGTAGTCTTCATATCGGCTGGAGGGCGATAGTCAAATCAAGTCAAGTCACCTTCATTTATAAAGTGCTTTTAACAGTATGGATTATTTCAAAGCAGCTTTACAGTGATAATAGAAATTACCGTAACAGATTGTTTAGGCTTTACCACAAGCTCTAGGATAAAGTTATTGTCCAGCTAAAGATAGTCTTGATTGATTCACTTCCGTTGTGAAGATCATTATTTATTAACTTATGCTAACACGACACCGTTCTAACAGAAAAACCCTTAACACGCTCCGGCCGCCCATCCACACAAAACAGTGCCTGGTGTCTCGAGAACGGACTCCCTGAAATAGGTTCGAAGGGGCAACCGATTATCCGTTTTCTCTGCGCAAACCTCAAAAACGCAAACCCGCGAAAACGCAGACGGCGTGCACATGCGCATCATTTGTTCAGTCGATAGGTATGCGCGTTTTGAATATATATGTGCGCAGGCGTGTAGTCCTTCTTCACAAATCAACCCTCAACAAACTACTTGTCTGGCCTTAAATATTTATAATACATAAATTTTTGTCACATCTGCGTAGCCACGCAAACCCGAATTATCCCGACAACGTTTTATCTGTACAGAGGTAAAAAGAAGGAGGCCTTCACAGGGGAGAGTCTAGTTGACACTTCAGGACTGCGTTGTCATCGTGTCCAGGCGCTGGTCCTTCCTCAGATCTGGATACAGCCTGGATCCGGCGGACTGCGGTAAACCTCGGGATAAACAGAGAGACTAATATTAGCGTAGACGCCATTCTTCTTATGATGTACCAAGTTCATCAGGATTTATGGGAAGTGTTCCCGGTCCCGGCTGATCTAAACTATGCAGCCTAACATTGAATTATAGAAGTCTATAATGTGTTATGTGTTTGCTAGGCCAAAGAGATGTGTTTTTATTCTAGATTTGAACTGACAGAGTGTGTCTGCTTCCCGGACAATGTTAGGAAGATTATTCAAAAGATCTGGTGCTAAATAGGAAAAGGATCTACCGCCAGCATTAAATTTTGATATTCTAGGTATTATCAACTGGCCGGAATTTTGAGATCGCAATAGACGTGAAGGACGGTAACACTTTACTTGAAGGGGTGTATATAAGACTGACATGACACCTTCATAATCATGACATGACACATTCAATGAATATGAAGGAGGTTTTATGCATGTTTATGTCAACTGTCATTAAGTGTCATTCGCTCAATTATGACATTTTAATGCAAATATGACATTGTTTGAGATGTCTTTGTTATGACAACTTCACATAAACCAATGCATCATAACCTGTCAGTGTCTTGGTAATGACAACTTGACATTACCAAGACAACATAAATTGTCATAAATATGTCATAAACATGGCATAGCAGATTAATTATCAAACTTAAGAAACCACTTAGCTTTATGGGTTAACATTACATTAAACTGTCATTTGGTTGGTTTTGACATTGGCTGTCATAAGGCCATTATAACTGTGTCATGAATATTTTTCTTGACCTCAACTTCAGTGGTACAAATTGAATTTGTCATTAAAAGGTTATAATGGCCTCATGACAGCCAATGTCAAAACCAACTACCTGACAGTTTAAGGTAATGTTCACCCATGTTAACTAAGTGGTTTCTTAAATTTGATCATTAATCTGCTATGTCATGTTTATGACATGTTTATGACAGGTTGTATTGTCTTAGTAATGTCAAGTTGTCATGATAAAGACACTGCAGGTTATGATGTATTGGTTTATGTCAAGTTGTCATGACAAAGATTAGGAGCTACTTTTAGCCTTAAGATGTTTTGTGAATACGGACCCAGATCTGATATATACATGGCAAACCTTGAATGTTTTAACAGGAGCCTGAGTGTCACCTTACTGGGATCATCATTTATGCGTCCATCAATGACTGCATAGCCATCTTTGCACTTGCACTTTTGGCCACAATTTAGCATGAGCTTTGAGATTGTCCTTTGAAAAGTATTCTTCAAACTGGATGTTCATCTCTTTACACACTCTTGCCTCTCGATTTTTTCCACACATTGGGCCCAGTGCAATTGACTTTGTACAGCGACGCATGTATCATTCGTATTTTGCACCCGTTTTTTTTTTTTTTTTTCAATCCCTGGTGCTATTTTGGAGTTCCAGAAAACAATTGCACCACTGACCAGAAAAAATCTAGTCTAAAGTCAGTGGCGTGTTGCGCATACATTCAGATGCTATTTTAAGCGTGCATGCTTGGCCATAATACAGAGTGTGAACAACGTGCATACATGATTCTCTCATCTACACATATGCATTTTACTTTTTGCAAATGATACATTATTATAAGGAAAAATATTAAAACACGAGGGAAATCATTGTTGTGTCCACGACGATGGGAAAAATAGGCATAAAGCTTACACATTTACCCCAATTATTATATGCATGTTTAACCGAAGCTAATTTGGGTGCGTTTGTCCCATCCCCAATGTCTCTTCTCTTTCTTTTACAGCCCTGATTAGAACATCGATCTCCTCGGCTGTGAACCGATTCTGAAGCGCGCCTGGTAAATGCGCTGTTATAATAGTATTGCGCCATGGAACAAGCGCACCTCGTTCATCATGCTCTTAAAGGGAATGTGATATGACGCTCTTATTGGTTTGTTTCCCGTTACGCCCAAACCACACCTATGAATAATGAAGCTACTTCAGACCAACCCCTTTTAGATTTGCGTCGAGCGCAAGAGTCATTTATCCCGCCGGTTAAATAGCAACAGCGCCGAGATCCGCCCACAAAGTTACTTGCGCTTTGCGCTTGACACTTGCGTCTTAGATCGTTAAAATAGGGCCCATTGTCTCGAACAGTCCGTTGAGCTGAGACGCCAGGAAAGGAAGTGAGGAAAGGAAACAAGGTTGCACAAATAAGAAATGAGAAGCAATAGTTGCAGGGCTCTCAAGTTTTGAAGACAGGCAAGGGTCAGGGGGTCAAAGAAAGAGAGAGAGAGAGAGAGAGAGAGAGAGAGAGAGAGAGAGAGAGAGAGAGAGAGAGAGAGAGAGAGAGAGAGAGAGAGAGAGAGAGAGAGAGAGAGAGAGATTATGACTGGTGTTGTTTATTGTAAGTGGTTGTTGCCTTTTTGGACTCCTTTATCATTTGTGGTGTTGGCTCCCATTTGAAACAGTTCGGCTCAAAAGCCCAGCCATTTTCAGGGTCATGATTGAGGACAATGTCCCCTCCAGAGACAAGCTGTTTCGTGTTGAGGTTTTGTTCAAACCGACCATCGAAAATACCCTCTCGGCTTCAGCATTAGAATGTGGAAGCTCTGAAACCAAGGCTGCGATCTTTGATAGCCTCCCAAATTGGTTCAAGCCAGCACCGTCTCCTCCTCTGTCTCCTCCTCTAATGGGCCTACCCTTTTCGCCACCTTCTCTGGGCCAGCATCCTCTAACCTGGCCTTTTTAGGGGGCTTTCCTCTCAGGGCAAATGAGAGAATGCTTAATTGCTTTTTACCTGACATCTTTGAAAGACAGATGCAATGATTAATGCATCCATGCCCAGGATATAATTATAAAGTATGACATGATTTTAAAAGTGACCTATAACATCAACTATGCAATACACTTTATTTTATTTAGTGCTAATAAAATTATTAAGCCTATTTGGAGAGAGAGATGTTTATAATGTGACAATATGTCAGTCATCGTGTGATAGCGAAAATATAACTAGGCCTAGACTACTTGTTCTGAGCAGGTGTTGTCAGTGAACAGGCTGTAAAACTGTTGGCTAAGTTACAGACACTCATGAAAAACTGATGCTAATTATCTGGGAAACATTCTCTAACAGCAGTCAAGTTGTCATTGTTTGTGTCAAACAAGTTGTGAATTTGTTGTAACATTAAAACAGGAGATCATGACTTACTCTGTGCTCAAAGTGATGCTCAGAGCTCCAGTGGTTTCCTCTGTGGGTGAACGAAACTTTCGGAAGATGTTGTAGCAGAATTAGGTGAACAATTCCAGGATATGCTTTTTTTTCATTGGTTGTTGCGTTAAATCTTACCCAGATACAATAGTGCTATTTTCTGATTGGCTATTGTGTAGCCCCTTTCTTTTTTTTGATTGGCTGATAGGTGGAAGGCTTGACGCATAAAGGGATATTTAGATATTTAGGGATATTAGTGCATTTAGCCTCTTATACATTTGATAAGGATCCATGTAAATAATGGTGACCTAATGTACTATCCAATGAAGTTTATGATGGAGCTGCAGATGGCAAAATTTTACATTATGACAATACTAAACTACTCTGTAACACTTACACGTTACTGCATCTACTAGTAATAACAGTAAATTATGCATAATTACAAGTAACTGACCCTAAACCAAACCCTAAGCCTAACCGTAAATCTACAGTAAGTAGGGGAGAGCCGGGACAGTTGAAACACTTTTCAGATAAGCGTCGATTTCTAAGATAAAGTTACAGATAGATTTTTTTTGTGATCAACAACTCAAATATGTGTTCTCTTAGTATCATGTGTTATTCAGTAGAAATATAGAATGATTTAAGTAAAAATTGACTTTGAATGGTAGTTGTGCTTTGTTTCAATCGTCCCGCCAGAATGTGGCGATTGAAACACAGGGGTGGGATGGATGAAACATAACAGTTTAAACGGTAACTAATCATCTAATGCTTGTTTTTATGAACAATACCTGACAAGTAACTTATGTGCATATTGTTACAAACATATTTTGTAATTTATTTTCATTTTAAGGTTCATATTAACATTTTTGTACTGTCGCCCAATAAACAATAGGCGATAAGCCTTTGCGCATTTTGCGTAATCTTTCTAATAGGCTATTTTGAAGGAGACAGACAAATCTGTTTACAATGAATTTTCTTACATTTATTCCTTGAGTCATATTGAGTCATATTGAGTGATTGAGTCATATTGAGTGTTTTCCTATGACCAGGTTTAACTGACAGGAGTCGCTGTTTCAACCGTCCCGACAGCGCCTCCTGCCAGTTAAACCTGTTTTGTTCTTAAACTAAAAAACTCTGATATTACACACTTAAGGGTGTGTTGCAGTACTAATACACCTGCCGTATTATCATTACAATGGCACATGAAACAATTAATACAACTTGTCAGTCAAAAAAAAAGTACCACACAGAAAGAATTCACTAACCACACACTCAAAAACAGCTTTCCGGCTCTAACTTTAAAATGGCAAGACATAAAGAAGAAATGTTTTCGCGGGTCTGGTAGTCATTGCGTGCTGACGAAATTTGATGTACGACGTGAGTGGTTTTCAAGGAAATCATAATGTTTCATCCGTCCCGTGATTCAATCGTCCCGGCTCTCCCCAACATGTAGTTAATTAATATTACTCAATACTTATTTGAGTACAGTAAGTACAATGTAGCTATAGTACATCACCTTAAAAGTGTAACCAATTATTGAAGTTTAATACAAAGTCAGCGTACTTCTTGTATATTCTTACGAGAGTAAGAATATAGTCTGTTTGGTTTAGTTTTCCCCTAAATGTTAATTAATGCATTAACTATCAAACATATACTAACAATGAAGTTAAAGTTGTCGTTATTCATGCATAAATCCAAATGACTCCAATCATAGGTAAGGTCAGCTCTTCATTTATTCTTGATTAGTTTGTGCGTTCTCTACTTAGTTCATTTTGAAGTAAGTATTGATTCAGGTATTAATACATAGTTATTCATGTATCATTCAGGTACCAAGTTAGGACAATTAAAAGCATGATTGTTTTCTCCATACTTATTACATACTCTATTAATTGATTTTGTAACTGAAATATTGTTTTCTAACAGGTTTTGACATTGACTGTTTATGGCCAGTGATGATTATTTAATAATGACCATGCAATAAAGCTTCAGCATTAAACTGAACTTTTTAATACTACAGATGAAACTACCTAGTCGACCTGAGTTGTTTGATTTTGAGGGTGTTTCTATGATACACTACTTCACTGACAACTGGGAAAAGGTGAAAAACTTTCAAGCAAGACCTGATGACATTCTTATCGCCACTTACCCCAAAGCAGGTAAGGGTGCTGCATGAACTTTTACAGGTTTAAAGAAAAATAGCCACTGTGCTTTTTAGCACAGATAGCACAGATTTTTTTTTTTATTCAGCAAAGATGCATTTAACTGATCAAAAGTGATGGCAAAGACAATGTAACTAAATATTTCTGTTTCAAACTGTCAACTGTGAAATAAATAAGAAATGGGTTACACATTATAATTACCATACAGTAATAAAGTATTTACAAATCATTTTCAAACTATTAGTTTATAGTTAATTAAATGTTTATAAACTGTAGTTACATTAATACATTAATAGATTATATACAAACGAGTTAATTCATTGTCACTGTAATTAATAACTTATTGTTTAATTAGCTTATATATGAAGAGTTAGGTTACACTTTTTTAAGGTGTCTGTGTTAGTGTAATTATACATTAAGTAGTGATTAATAATAATGAACTACATGTACTTACTAAAAGGGTTAGGATTAGGTTGTGGTTAAGGTTAGTTGCATGTAATTATGCACAATTTAAAGTAATTGCTATAGTAGCTACATGTAATATGTGTAACAAGCACACTGTAAAATAAAGTATTACCTAGAGTTAGACAATGGTTTGTTAGCAATTTATTAACCGTAAATAGTTCTCACTTTAGGTTTGTAACTTGTATATTCTGTTTTGGCTTAATTTAATTTAATTCATAGGTTCCTGTTTGCCTGTGTTCCCTGTCATTTGACCTAGTTTCCAGTTTGTTCCCTTGATTAATCATTCAGTGCACCTGTCATTCAATTAATTGTCTCTTTAGTTACCTCATTTAGTCTGATATATATTCTCCCTGTTTTTGTTCAGTCCTTTGTCCTGTCTCGTCAGTGTTTTACAGTGGCTGAAGCCTTTCACATTTTATAAACAAATTAAATTAAATGTAGACTACACACTTGCACCTGATGCCCAAATGCCCATTTAGTTAATTTGGCTACAAGTTCCAAAATGAATTCCTCTTCATATGACCCCTTTAAACACAACAGTATGAACTATGAAAATAGGGCTTTGGTATGGTAATATTAAATGTTTTATCTCTTCAAACTGACATTTAAAACTTTCAGTACTACTGATATAATTTTATGAATGCTAGTTCTTATCTTGTTATCATTGTTCTCTTACGAGAGGTTCTCTCGTATTGCGTAAGTTTAGCTTACGCTACGGGAAAGATTCATCTTCTCGAGATATTGAAGCCAAAAATGATCCTTAATTTTGTATATGTTGTCAACGCAGTGCAGCAGCTAGCAGACCTAGAGCGGGCATTCTAGCGCGCTCATAGGCTGCCCTGCGGGAACTGCACAGCCTACCAGTGAGCCCGACGTGACGTCACGCGCCCTCGCCGCGTCCTAGCCCGCCAGAATGGGCGTGGCTTAGCGTATATAAGCGGGGCTCGGAGGCTGATTCTCTGATTTTCATCTCTTCAGCGAAGCTGCATGCATCGCTGGACCTTGAGAAGCCGCCGCCGCTGTTGAAACAGCGACAAGCCAGACAGTGACTGAGGAAGCCGGCCGTCTTCGCCACCTTCAGCCTTCCGAAGCGAGCTACGCTATCCGGCGTCGTATCCTTTTTCTTATTGCAACCAAGCATCTAAAAGAGCACGAGCATCTTTTTAAAGATGCCTCGGTCCACTTGCGGCTCGTGCAGAGCCCCGCTCAGCGTCGGAGACCGTCACGTTATATGCGCTCTCTCCCTGGGCCAGGAACATGCTGCTCTTGCCCTCTCTTCGGGAGGATGTGAGCACTGTGAGGAGCTTCCGATGTCGACCCTGCGGGCTCGACTCGAAGCCTTCCAGGACGAAGCTATCTCTCCGCCCTTTGCTGGACCGCGCAGGAAAAAGAAGTCCCTCCCTCGAGCCTCACCGACGCCCTCCCCGCCTCTTCTCACCAACGCGCAGCCACCGGCTATGGCCCGCCCTGCCGTCGAGTCTGAGGACGACGCGGATGGACCCGCCGCAGGAGATAGCTGTTCCATCCTAGCTTCGGATAGCGAGGAGTGGTCGAGCTCTCAGCGCTCCGCCTCCTCTTCTATTCGAAGAGGAGCTCACAAGCGCTCACAAGCGCTCATGCTTACTGACACGCGCTTCGCCAGTGCTGTTAAACACACGCCACAAAGCGCAAGCTCATGACGGTCAATCTATGGTTGTAAGTCACGTGTCCGCCCACGAGCGCCCGCGCTTACAAGCCTGCACGCCTCTCAAGGCGCCGCTCGCGCATCACAATGTGATCACAAAGCTTCCCCCATTCTCAGTAATCGGGAAGCTGCATATAAAACAGCCTGTCACTGTTTTCAGCGAGCCGCCCCATATAAGTACACAGAGCGCGCGCTGCGCCCGCTCCTCCGGTTCAGTCTCTCGAGCCCGCACAGTGCGGCGTCCGGTCCATTCTACCCTTAGCTGCACATATAAAAGCATGGGAAAACATCCCAGGGGTATCGAAGTGGGTGCTAAGCACTATAAAGCGGGGTGCGTTACAGTTCGCTCGCCGTCCCCCTCGCTTTCGAGCGCGGACCGCGACGACAGTGAAAGCAGAAGTAGCACACCTACTTCGCTCGGAAATAACAAAACTGCTGTGCAAAGGGGCCATAGAACCGGTACCGCCTTCTCTGAGCGAGTCAGGCTTTTACAGCCGTTATTTTCTCGTGCCCAAGAAGGACGGGGGACTCAGACCCATACTGGATTTGAGGCATGTGAACAAAGCTCTTATGAAAAGACCGTTCAGAATGCTTACAACCAGACAACTCCTCGCGCACATTCGCCAGAGGGACTGGTTTATATCTCTCGATCTGAAAGATGCCTATTTCCAGATTCAGATAATACCCCGTCACAGGCCATTCTTGAGATTCGCCTTCGACGATCGGGTTTATCAATACACCGTCCTGCCGTTCGGCCTGTCTTTAGCACCCCGTACATTCACGAAGTGCATGGACGCGGCTATCGCCCCCTTGAGAACTCAGGGCGTGCGAATTTTGAACTATCTGGACGATTGGTTGATTCTAGCACAGTCAGAGACAGAGCTATTATCTCACAGAACTGCGCTTCTCAGCCATCTGAAATGCCTAGGTCTCACGGTCAACTGGACCAAGAGCTCATTACTGCCCAGTCTGTCAATTTCCTTTTTAGGAATAGAACTGGACTCAGTGACCATGACGGCTCGCCTGTCAACACAGCGCGCGTGCTGCGTCCGGCAACTGGCCATGTCATTCACGGCGGGCAGCGTTTCCCCTCTGAAAAAATTCCAGAGGATGCTAGGCTTGATGGCTTCAGCCTCGGCGGTACTCCAGCTAGGTTTACTGCGCATGCGCCCGCTACAACACTGTGCCACACCGAGCTTGGAAGTCGGGTCGCGAGCGGATCAGAGTGACTCAGAGCTGTGTCACAGCTCTGCAGCCCTGGTCAGCGGCCGACTGGTACCAGAGGGGAGTGACTATGGGGGCGGTCTCATACAGGAAGGTCATCTCGACGGACGCGTCCAACTCAGGTTGGGGCGCCATCCTCGAGGGCAGACCAGTCTTCCGCCTGTGGTCAGACCGGGAAAAACTCTTCCATATAAACTGTCTGGAAATGATAGCGGTCGAGAACGCGCTGAAACGCTTCCTCCCGCTCATACAGGACCACCATGTTCTAGTCCGCTCGGACAACATGTCTGTGGTGTCCTATTTAAATCGCCAGGGCGGTTAGACCCAGGAACCTCTGCAATCTCCTCGTTTGGTCTCAGCACCATCTGCGCTCACTGAGAGCTGCACATGTGCCGGGTCACCTGAACGACGGCCCAGACAGACTGTCCAGGGACAGCGTTCCCCCGGGAGAATGGTCCCTGCACCCCCAAACAGTCCAGTTATTATGGCGCCTTTTCGGCAAAGCGGAAGTCGACCTTTTTGCGTCACAAGACAACGCTCATTGCCCGACGTTCTTTTCAAAGGACAGGGACGCGCTGGCCCGGACGTGGCCCAGCCGCCCGTTAAATGCATTTCCTCCGGTACCTCTGTTACCACAGGTGATCAAGAGAATCAGGGAAACGCGCCATTCAGTGCTCCTCATAGCCCCGCAATGGGAGAACCAGACTTGGTTTCCAGAGCTAATGCGGCTGTCACAGACAGCCCCATGGCCTGTCCCACTGAGAGCAGACCTCCTCTCTCAAGCACACGGCTCGATCTGGCATCCCCACCCGGAGCGCTGGTCGCTACACGTGTGGGTGATCAACGGGTATCCATCGCACTGCCAGACGCAGTAATGAACACAATCTCGCAGTCTAGAGCACCTTCTACCAGAAGGCTCTACGCGTCCAAATGGTCTGTGTTCTCTAAGTGGTGCACTAACAAAAACCTTGATCCGCGAACGTGTGGGGTCCCGCGGCTGCTCAGTTTCCTTCAAGAGCTGTTGGATAGGGGCGGATCCCCCTCCACGCTCAAAGTCTATGTGGCGGCTGTCGCAGCATTCTCTGAATCAATGCACGGCCAGTCGATAGGCAAAAAACGAGCTTATCATCCGCTTCCTCAGAGGAGCCAGAAGGATGAACCCCCCGCGCCCCCCCTCGGTTCCTATGTGGGACCTTTCACTAGTCCTAGAGGCCCTGAAAGCATTCCCCTTTGAACCCCTGGACACAGCGGACTTGAGATACCTGTCGCTCAAAGCTGTTTTTCTGATCGCACTGTCATCAGTCAAACGCGTGGGGGATTTACACGCGCTATCTGTAAGCGCGTCATGTCTTGAGTTTGGCCCGAATGACTCAAAAGTCATCCTCAAACCTAGACATGGTTACGTTCCCAAAGTGGTTGGCACGCCATTCAGAGCACAGGTAATTTTTCTATCGGCTCTGCCAGCATCCGATAGTGAAAGTGATGTTAATCTCCTCTGCCCAGTCAGAGCTCTGAGATTTTACGTTATGCGCTCCGCCCCATTCAGGCGCTCTGAGCAGCTGTTTGTTTCGTTTGGTGGGCGCACTAAAGGTCTCGCCGCCTCGAAACAGAGCCTGTCTAGGTGGATAATAGATGCAATCGCAGCCGCTTACACGGCAAAAGGTCTGCAGTGCCCCTTGGGCATCAGGGCTCATTCCACTAGAGGCGTGGCCTCGTCGTGGGCATGGTCAAGTGGAATTTCCATTCAAGACATATGTGTGGCGGCGGGCTGGTCCTCTCCGTCCACCTTTGTCAGGTTTTATAACCTAGAAGTTCCCGCCCTGCAGGCGAAACTGCTGTCTGTTTAAGTGAGAGGTTAGCCCTGTCCAGATATTATCATGCGCAGACTACCCTCACATGAATTCAGCTCTTCTGGTTAAGCTGCACTGTTTCAGGCTATGTGCTATATATGCCTATGCACCAGCCACACGCGGCCGCTCTGTATTGCCTGTCAGTGCTTGTTTACACGCGCGTATACGCTTCATGGTACTCGCGCTTATGTACATGCATGTTATTCCCACTTTCTGGGTTCACAGAAGTGTTGTGACTCATGAGGTGGATGCGGGCACGCACGGCGTGGACAATGGGTTCCCGTAGCGTAAGCTAAACTTAAACTAGCAATACGAGAGAACCTCTCGTAAGAGAACGTACTGGTTACTAACGTTACCTCGGTTCTCTCTAGAAGAGGGAACGAGTATTGCGTAACCTGCCGTGCTAAACGCCACATGCGCTATTTCGCTTCAGTTGATGAAAACCAGAGAATCAGCCTCTGAGCTCCGCTTATATACGCTAAGCCACGCCCATTCTGGCGGGCTAGGACGCGGCCGTGACGTCACGTCGGGCTCACTGGTAGGCTGTGCAGTTCCCGCAGAGCAGCCTATGAGCGCGCTAGAATGCCCGCTCTAGGTCTGCTAGCTGCTGCACTGCGTTGAAAACATATACAAAATTAAGGATAATTTTTGGCTTCAATATCTCGAGAAGATGAATCTTTCCCGTAGCGTAAGCTAAACTTACGCAATACTCGTTCCCTCTTCTAGAGAGAACCGGAACCGGGGTTACGTTAGTAACCAGTACGTTCTGTTTCTAAGAAAAGGTTTTATACTCATGTTCCTCTAGGTACCACCTGGGTTTCATATATTCTTGACCTTCTGCATTTTGGTAAGGATGCTCCAGAGCGCCAAACTTCCCAGCCTATCTATATGAGAGTGCCATTTCTGGAGTCATGTTTTCAAGTGATACAATCAGGTCAGAGACCACAGATTAATGAGTGTTCACTGAATTAATAATGTGTTTTTTATGTTGTTGTTGTTGCTTTGTCAATTTTGATCACTGTCTCATTTTATGCTCCTTTACTTCTTGCTATTCCATATTCCACATTTTATAGTCGTGCATCATGGATTCTGTGTGCCACATATTCTGTAATTTATATTCTGTGACAGATTGATTTAAATCATCTGCTTTTTACTCAGAAAAGGTGAAATGCCTATTATTATCATTCCCTGAGCACACGCTGAGGTCCTCTGCTGGCTTTGCTGTACACATGCTGCTGCAGTTACTGTAAATAGATATATCTGTAGCACCGATAATATTTTACTATATTAATTGTGATAATTAAGCATCAAGGCAAAAATATTCCCATTTTTATTTATTTTTTTAACACTGTATTCAAAATCCAGTGGACTATTTGCACAACTTCTTCAGTGTTCTACATAGTACGAATCAGGCAGTTCCGGGAAAAGCATTCATATATTTTCTCACTAACCTGTGGGAAATCCAGTGCTGGTCTTCTTATTAAGGTTTTTTTTTTCCTACTTATTAATAATAATCTATACCTGTTGACTTTCCATTTATAAATGACGTTGAAAAGCTGCAATAAAGAAATGGTGTGTGTGTGTGTGTGTGTGTACATTATGGGGAACAAAATGTCCCTACAAAGATGGCAATATCCGAAATCCTTGTCACTGTGGGGAAATTTTTGGTCCCCATGAGGAAAACAGCTTTGCGTTAGTTTCTGACGCTTATGGGGGACGGACTGCTAAATGCTGTGCCACCAGCGCAGAACGGAAGCCGTCCTGTGAGGCCATAGCCCGGGGCCGCAGCCCGGGGCCGTAGCCCTGGGAATGTCTAAGAGAGGCTACTAGAGATTAAGGCCTTAGAATGTCCAGAAATGGCAGACTCGGGTTCAGAGACCAGAGATTGAAGGTATGATCACCTTAGAGGAACGCCTGAGGGCAGGGGCCAATCTAGGCAGACAGAACCCGTGCCTTGGATATCCAGGTTGTAGAACCTGATAAAGCTGTGCCGCCGCACAGATGTCAGCCATGGATATCCCACAAGACCATGCCCAGGAGGAAGCCATTCCTCTGGAAGAGTGGGCCCTCACCCCAATGTGGCACTGGAATTCCAAATATTTGTATCTATCGCGTCCACTATCCAGTGGGACAGTCTCTGCTTCATAACTGACAGAACCTTCGAGCGGCCTCCGAAGCAAACAAACACCTGCTCCATCTGCCTGAATTGGCTAAAGCGCTCAATGTACACGCTAAAGGCCCTCACTGGGCAGAGTGGGTGTGCTGTCTGCTCTTTCTCAGCAGAAGGGAGAGCAGAAAGTTAGATAAATTGTGGCCTAAAGGGCGTGGAGAGCACCTTTAAGCTCATAGCCTTGGTTTAAGGACAACCTTGCTGTTGTTTGGCCCAAACTCGAGGCAGGAAGTCTCCACTTAGGAGAGGAGGTCTCTTCTCAGCGGGATTGGCCAGGGTGCTGCAGATAGCAGCTGGACCATTCTAGTAAACCACGGCTGGTTCTGCCAGAGTGGTGCTAAAAGCAGGACTGAGCATCTGTCCTCCCTGATTCATCTGATGACCTGAGGGAGCAGTGCTACCGGAGGGAAGGCATAAAGGCACAGAGGGGGCCACTTGTGAGCCACTGCGTCCCTTTCCTTCAAAAAGAATATTGGGCAGTGTGTGTTCTCTCTCGATGCGAAGAGATCCACTTCTGCCTGGCCAAAAAAGCTCCAAATCATGCAGACTGTTTGGGGGTGGAGTCTCCATTCCCCTGGGGGCGGCCCATTCCGGGACAGCATATCTGCTCCTGTATTCATGGAGCCTGGCACATGTAAAGCTTATACTGAGCGGAAATTGTCCTGTGCCCACAGGAGGAGGCGGTGTGCCAGTCTGTTCAGTAGACGGCACTTGAAACCGCCCTGGTGATTTATACAGGCTACCACTGTCATGTTTTCTGATTGGACTAGAACATGGTGCCCCTTGAGTAGTTTCTGAATTTCTTCAAGGGGAGGTTGCTCCTCGATCTGAACGGTGTTGCTAATTGCTGAATTTTTCAGGGAGCGATCCGGCGAAATCCATGCCCGCATTGTGGACGAGTCGAGTGCTGCCACCAGGAACGCAATTGGCTGGGGGACAGTGAGCTCTTACTCGAGTTGATTGTGAACCGCAGGCTCTCTAGATAGTTGAGAAGCAGAGATCTTTGCGCGCACAGTTTGTCCTTCGATTAGGCTAAGAGCAGCCAATTGTTGAGGTAATCCAGGACGCAAACTCCCCACTGTCACAGATGGACGCTTTGGTGGCGGTCCGGCCTTGGCGGGACTTAGCCTTCTCTTCCTTGAGTCCGAAGCATCAGGACTGCTTGGGCGGCTCAGGGTTCAGCTCTAGCCTAGGGTGGTGTCCCTGGCGCTTAGGAAATGGGTAGCTCTTTGCTGGGCGGAAGCGCTGCTTCACACCCGCCTTCTGCGGGGGCTGAGCGGGCTTGGTCACCGGCTTGCTGAGTCGGCGTCGATCTGAGGTGACAAGCAGCAACTGAGGAGCCTGCTCTCTTTGGCAGAAAATGACGCATTGCCTGTGATGTTTTCTGTGCTGCTGTGAAGCACTCCCTGAAACCATCCACTGCAGGACCAAATGAGCCTGAGGGAGCGACCAGGGAGTCGAGGAAGACAGTCTTGTCAGCATCCTTGATCTCCGTCAAATTAAGGTGGCGCTAAAGGACCACCAGATTGGCCATAGCAAGCCAGATTGCGTGGGCTATGGATTTAGTGGTGGGCAGGGCAAGGCCAGTTGTGTTGCGCTTTGAAGGCCGCCGGGTCTGGGCCGTTCTCATCCATGTCACGGAGGAGCTTAGCCTGACACACTTGGAGGACCGCCATCGTGTGGAGGGCAGACAGCTGACGCACTCAGAGTGCTCATCCGAGGGATGTAGGCCAGCCCTGCATGAGCCATATTCGTGGTGCGACATTTTGCAACAAACGCCGCTTGCTTTTTTAGAAATGAAATATACTCTTTTTAATTGGCTTGCGCCATGAAATTTGCTCTTTTCGCAGCTTGCACTGTGAAAGTTGTCGCCGGAAAAGCTGAAGGAGAGAAGCCATTGGTCCGCTGCAAAAGGCTGTTCTCGACGGCGTGTAGAAAGCCTTCTTTTTCTTCAGAGTTAGCGAGGAGATGTGCCTTCGCGCTGAAGGAGGGAAATCTGACTAAATGGCCTTTTTGCGCAACTTAAATAGGCAGTCAGCCCTGCCCTTTCTGGCGGGCTGAAAAGCCATTTGTCTGTGAAAAGCACAGATGTGCACCACTCAGGCTGATTCTCCAAGGTATTCTGAGAAAACTGAGTTTCCCCATAAGAGTCAGAAACTGACACAATGTGAGTGACCCATATTGAAAGGGAACTAGTGAGCTGCAATATTTGAAAACAGAAGTAACAAAGCTCAGTGCAAGTTGTCCAATGGCTCACATTTTTGAAGTGTGAATGGGTATGACGCTAATATGCATGATGTAAACTGGATTGTGATTCCTTATACCCAGCATAGTTTTGTTCTGTGAGGTCCATTACCAATATAAACAAATTAGAATGGTATTGTTTATTTACTGTATGTCTTGGTTTAACCACAATGACAACTAGGATACTGAAGGATACTAAAATTGGAACTACATTTTATTTGTCACTTTCAGGGACAGAGCTGGCTGATAATCTGCCCACTTCTCCTCGCCTCATCAAAACTCATTTGCCTGTTCAGCTTGTGCCCAAGTCCTTCTGGGAGCAGAATTCAAGGGTAAAGTATATGGGCTCCTTTCACTCTGTGATGTGATGTAGGTGACAACATGTAATCAATCTATCATAGTATAATGTGAATCTCATCATACTACCAAACTTAAGTGCACAACTTAGAAACATGATTTAAATGAAGGAAAATTCATAGATGGGTGAACAATAAAAGGAAAATACAGAAGATCTGGTGGATTTATACATTTTGCTGGCATGGTTTGGACCCACTTGTCCCTTTTAGATCAATAAAGTATTGTTGAGTAATCACCTTTATCCTTTGATTAAACATTTTTTATCCTGGTGTAAGTGGTCTTTTCCGGGATGACAATGAGGTCACGCGAGATAACACGAGGGCTCACTGAATCTTTTTATGAGTATGAAAAAAAAATGTATGGCATACAGTATGATCTCAATCAGTCCTCACATCTCAATCCAGCTGAACACCTATGGGAGATTTAGACTGATGTTAGGACAGCACCATCACCACCATCGAAATGAGGAAACATCTTTTGGAAAAATGGTATTCCATCCCTCCAACAGAGTTGCAGGGACTTGCCGAATCAGTGCCAATGTGAATCTGTTCTGGCAGCACGTGGTGGGCCAAACACATTAAATATCAATTTTCTCTAATAAAGAGTGACTTAAGTTTCGTCTGTGTTTGATAGCACTGCAGCGTGTTTTGTCAAGTGAAGTGAACTTGAACAGATACTGTGTAGCCTACTCAGTTAGTAGGGATCAGTAAACCCAGCATAGGGACCCTATGGATTGAAACACAGCTAAATTCCCTCTATTTAAGACAGCATTAGTTGTGTAATTAAGTGAATGTAATGCAAATCTTGTTTCTTGTCATAATTTTTGTACACTTATTTCAGATTGTGTATGTAGCTCGGAATGCAAAAGACAATGCAGTTTCCTATTTTCATTTTGATCGAATGAATATGGCAGAACCTGAACCAGGAGACTGGAACACCTTCTTACAGAAATTTATGGAGGGAAAGAGTAAGTAAAATATTTTGTACAGTAATGAAATTAAATCATATTAGTCAGTTACAATGGGTATAACTAAAGAACCATTTTAGTGTCAGGAAATTATATTAAATTATTATATATTAGTATATTAAAATATGTTTTTATACCTACAAAACCATTTGGAGAAAAAAAGGTCAAATATATCTACATGACCTACATGAATCAAGAATTTTACAACTGAGGAATTGTTTTAATATTCCCTAGATGTGTTTGGTCCTTGGTTCGACCATGTCAGTGGATGGTGGGAGAAAAAACAGACATATTCTAACTTACTCTACTTGTTCTATGAGGATTTGGTGGAAGTAAGTTCAGTTCATAATGTGACATTTTTATGAAGCATAAAATCAACATGAAAGTTTAATGTGATTTTCCATGTCTTACTCAGGACACTGGACGTGAAGTGGAACGTTTGTGTTCCTTCTTGGGTTTGTCCACTTCAGTTGACGAGAGGGAGAAAATAACAAAAGGGGTTCAGTTTGATGCCATGAAACAGAACAAAATGACTAACTATTCCACTCTCCCAGTCATGGACTTCAAGATCTCACCCTTCATGCGGAAAGGTTAATAAACCACTGATCTAATTTAGACTTCTAAATGATGTCCTATTATTTGCTTTTATCTTTTCTTTGTTTGTGTTACAAAAGGTAAAGTTGGAGACTGGAAAGGTAACTTCACTGTGGCACAAAATGAACAGTTTGATGAAGTCTACAAAGAGAAGATGAAGAATACCACTGTCAAGTTCCGCACTGAGATATAATACTTGAGTTCTGGAGCAGGTGCCCCCCCACTCTCGAGCCTTGCCCCCCCCAGCTGCCCCCCTAACTTTGATGATCAAAAAACTGTACTTGTAAAAACAACCTGCCACTATGTCCACAAGCTTCTCAAAACAGTGAACTAAACAATACATTTACCAAAAGTGAACAATTTAATTTTTAATTTCAAATATATTATTAGCCCCTCCCCCCTGCGTCCCTGATTCAAACGTGCAGAGCGGGCGGCGTTGGCGGCTCGAATACACACAGCGAGTCTGCTGCGGTAAGGTGGCCCTGCAACCCGACTGGAGAGAGTGAGCACGTTTAACTTAAAGTTACATTTGTAATGAATGTGTTGTATACTAAAGACGATTCAGCATCAGCAAAAACAGCGCGTATTACGTTAGCCAAAATCAGCGGTCAATTCGCTCCCTCGTGATTTGTAAGAGCACTCTTCCCTTTGATTAGCCTAATTTTGATTTTAGTAAAGACAAGAACAGCTTAAGGCGAGACACAAAAACATCGGGGTTTTTTTCACTGGTTAATTTTAAGATTTTGATATTTGTCTTCAACATGTCTTCTTACTTGTGGTGAATTTTTTTTCCAAAAAAACACATTTAGGACTTTATTTTACTACACTTTGTCTATTTGCGTCAGATTTCTCCTAAATTCAACAAAAGTTGTCGTTCTAAATCAACATGCTGCTCCGCGATCGCTGCATGTCAATGTCATCACATCACTGATCTATATAGAATGACATAGATCAGTGCATCACATACATCTCCGTTGGAAAGCTCTCTTCTCTCTCCTGTACATTGTTGTCGTATCCAAATATGGTCATTTCCTTTTAATCAGCAACCAATCGTGAAAGTACAATGGGCATTTAACTCTAAAACCGAAATCTCATTGGCTGATGTCAATTTCTGACAACGTGATTCGTTCAGATGCATCACGTGACGTGCTCTGACAGTTAGAGATGCGTTTTTGACTGTTTTTCTGTTCAGTTGAAGGCCATAAATGCTGTGATTTAGGCGGTTTGTATTGTTGTTGCTAATGATTTGATAAGATATTGTGTCTGTAAATAGTTGTTTCCACTAAAAAAAGTATGAATTTTTACATTACAAATCTTTAAATGCTGTTTTCTCAAAATTAGTTTTTTTTGTCATTCTCCAGGACAAACATCTCAGCCTGTGTAGCACCTATGTACACCAAACTTTCCAGTTATACACTTAGCAGTATTCTGAAGATATTTTCAGAGGGATTTGTTAATAAATCATTCCTAAAAACCTTTGTAGTGTGTAAGGGCATGATTAAACAATAACGTTAATCATTTAATAATGATTAAAAGTGTTTTTGTGTTTGTTTTGTTAAAGCAATTCACATATAGGGATTCCCATGTACCGTCTACCCCTGCCACCCTGCCAAGACCTCTTGCCACCCCTTTGCCCCCCCATGTAAAATTTTCTAGATCCGCCACTGAACTATAGTACTGTAAGTGCACTATTCATTGGCTGATTTCTTCAAAAAGTGGTGTTTTTTTTATACCTCTTGAAATAACACATTTATGTGAACATCTTTTTTTAGTTCTGTTTTTTTCTGTTTAAATAATAATTTTACCAATATTTTAATATGACTTCATTTAGCTTAAATTTGCCAAGCACAAATGCAGTGCTTATTTAAACGATTAAAGTTTGTGAAAGTCATCTGGGAAGTAAGATAACTCAGTGGGTAAACTGACCCTTCAATTAAAAGGCTTTTATATAGTACAGTACTGTATGTTGGTGATAACACTTTCTGTTTTATTCAAAAGCACTTGACCACAAAAATACATAGAGACATGAATAAAGATACGTGGGACTACCACATTCTGGCATAACTAGCTGGGACTGCACGGCATTACTTCACCTTCATAAATCATCTCTTTAAATGCTGAAAGTATGCTTGACAGTATACCATGTGTGGGGTTTGAGGATCATTTGATCAATAAAATTACAGCAGGTGTCAGTACCATGCAAACAGTTCATTCAGACTTTTTTAAAGCTGAAATGAAAGATAATAATTTCATTAAAAAATATATGTCACAGCACAATACAAGCCCATATAGTGCCTGGTTAATATGTGATGCAGTTTATTTTCTACAATGGCACTTATTTCTCTTTTTAAAGAAGGAAACCTATACAAATGTTAAAATGCATTTGTCTATGCATCTGTCATTGACTGACAATAGTGTATTTTTTGGGATCAGTTAATATTCTTGCAATAGGAAAGATTGTCATTCACAGTAAATGCATTGCATGTAACCACAATACACCATTATTTACAAACAAAAATATAATCTGTTTTAGTTATACTCAGCTTTCTATCATTTATTGCTCAGATATGAGTTCTACTGTATTGTATAAAGTAATGATGAGTTGAGCATCCAACTGTATTGAAATTTGGCTAAACTGTTGAATACACCAACAAAGTTTTGGTCTGCTGTTCTGTCAGTTGCCTAGTCATTTATATAACAATGATTTTACTACACATAACTCCAGTTGTGGGAATAGTTTTGCATGTTTTCGGTACACTGTATTGCGGGAATAAACTGGAAGTACAAAGCATGGGCAAGAAAGTCAACATATTCTGGCACATACAGTATAAATTCTGTTTAAATGCAGTGCAAAGAAGGAAGAAAAAAATTACTATCCAGACTCAGGTCTTCATAATGCTTAGTAGCACTTAAATTGGTCTATGGGACAAGGCACTGCAACAGCATAAACATTAACGTACTCACTACTGCACAAGTATAGCCACAAGACCTAAATATTACAAGTAATGACAGGAGACTAGTAACTCTTTGTGAAGTCTTTTACATGGAGACACCCCACCAACAGAAATTACTCAAATAACACATTATTAGAAGTTAATCTGCCTATAATAGTGGTCTTACCACTAAAAAGACAATTAGGAAAACTTTCCAGACCAAATAAAAAACATTTTATACAAAAACATTTATAATAGTGAAAACAAAATACACACTTCTAGAATGCCTTGCCTCATAGACTTCTATTGTATGTACATAACTGTAAACAAGACTTCAGAAGAAAAAAAATCAGAAGTAAATATTTTTAGTGTTGATCGCACTTCACATTTGACTCCACTTACTAAAATCTGATCCAATAAATGTGTTTCTCTTCCCCTTTAAGTACCATTATACTACAATTAGACTCCATTCATCTGAGCAAGTCATGATTAAATATGTAATCTCAGATTTTTGGAGAATGCGTTTTAACCTGGAGTTGTTGTGTGCCACACCATGTTCAAAGGTCAATAATGTCACTGTCAACACTGGCTGAGTCATCATTTCGCGTGACTTTCAAATATCTATGCCCCCCTTTACTATTTGATTGTGAACTTTCAAGGTCAGGGGTTAGAAAAAGCCTTGTGTTTTCTGGACTGGGCACAAGGGTATGGCTTGTGCTTGGGGAAGGGTGCAGTGAGACCGGGCAGGACAAAGAGGAAGGCACTGGTGCCTCAGAGACCCAACGGAAGCCCTGATGAGTCGGTGTAGGGGGAGCTGTGACCTGTCGGCTGGGCACAGCACTAGGAATGGAGCGATCCAGACCTGTAGAAGACTCTGTGAGCAACGTGTGTTCATCACTGCTCGATGACAGTGTTATGTGGGGGTCACTATTCCGTCGCATCCACATGTTTGGAAATGGAGGAGGTGAAAGTGGTCGTAGTGGATAGAATAAACTTTCGCCCCCTAACAGATGCTCACGATGAAGTGCCTCATCAATACTGCGGCCAAGGTCAATTGGGGTTGGAGGGCGCAGGTCAAAATCGCAGAGTGAGAAGTTGGACTCCTTTTCCCTGTCCAGACTGCTACTTGAAGAGCACTGAGGTGGATGAGCACGTGGCTGCACCCTTAGCAATGAACCAGCAGAGCCCCCTGCAAAGCTTTTCAGATTGCTGTCTTTGAGTGGATCCTGATTTCGTATGAGGCTCTTGCTAATATCTGCCCCTGATCGCTCCTGTCCAGCCCAGTTATTGGGCAACTCTCCGGCCACTGCACTACTACTGGATCCTCCAATTCCATTGCTTTCAGATTTCCTTTGTTGCCTTACCTTGAGGCTCTGGACAATCTTTGCCCAGCATGTATGTCTGCTGGTAGAGTTTGATGATTGAGAGGGTGAGGGCAAGCTTTCTGTGGCAGCCCCTTCCTGTCTTGGTGCTCCACATATGTGGCCTCCATTGGGTCTCCAGAAGACCCAGGAAGACACCAAAAGCAGGCAGAAAGCCCAGACAAGCTCCAACAGTCGTACCCAGAACTGACAGAGCCACCATGCCCAACGGAAGCGCCTCCAGTCTCCTAGTAGTCCATATAGCCACATGCAGGAATAAATATGCAAAAGACAGCACAGTGCCCCAAGAAGAGCGCATACTGCCAGCACCCATGCTAAAACCCTCACTTTTTCTTCCCCTATTGCCTTATTTCTTCCCCGAGCTGCATTTGTGTGAGAGAGGCGTGGCAGTGCAAAGAAAAGGTACCCTAAACACAGTGTCAGGCCTGCAGTCAGCGTGAGGCTCTGTAGGACGATGGGAACAGCAGGTGAAAGTGCAGGGGAAAGTAAGTCTGCAGCAAGTAGGAGAGTGCATTGTAAAACAGCTAATACTCCTAAAAGAGGGGGGTGCTGAAGTGTTGGTGGTAGCCAAGTTACTCCTGCCTTTTTTAGTACCAATATCACTAATGCAGCCTGTGCCAAAATTAACAGTGGTAACGGCAGCGTGTATAAAGCTATTATTACAGGAGGCGGCAGGAGGAACCGTGTCCCATATGGGTCAAGCAAAAAGTTGCCAGCTCTAACCGCACCCACAACTAGCAAGAGGCTATTGGCAAGTATCAGTTCACCACAGTGGGGGCAATTCAAGCTGGGAGCTAACGCTAAGCCAAGAACAGAGCCAACAGTAAGCAGAAGGAAGAGGGCAGCAGAACCAAATACATGCAGCTCCCATGCAAATGACAGTGTGCGTTTTAAGTCTGCCCACACTAAAAAGCTGCCATTTGTTGCACCATATTTGTCAGCATTGTTTTGATCTTTGGAAAAAACACAGGGCCCCACAACAGTGCCACAAGGGTCCTTGGGTTGGGCATGGGTTGGAGAGGCAGGGTTTGACTTCAAAGATGGAACTATTCCCTGTGAGACTGACTGGTCCGTCTCTGTAACTCTTCTATCATTTTCAGAGAATACAAAATGGCCATGTCCAGTCAGGCGAGGGGAGGTTGTACTTGTACTTAGAAAAGGTGATATACCTGTGGAAATCAAAAGGGGTACAGGAAATATTATTGAGGTAACTGGCAAAACACAATAACAAACAATAGGAAAGCATGTAACTACATACAACACATTCAACAATATACAATCCTTTTGCAATTTGTACATTTTACAAACTGATCTCTAATTAACATGAATGCTCATAAAAATAAAGCTGGAATACACTACATAACTTTTAAAAGATGAATATGTTTTAAATGAATATGCATCACACATTTGAACTTTGTAAATAGTTACAGAGGAAAAACTGGGAATTATACAATCAATGACAGATTCTGTGCCTATCATAACACTACATGATTATCAAAATCTGTCATATCTGACTGCTCAATATCTGCAGCCTTGCTATGACTTTCAGCAATTTGCGTGGGAAAAAAGTAATGTATTGTATTCTGGCCTTTATTTGACTTAAACATAATCTGTAAGTCTATTATAATGTGAAGCAGTTATGAACTGTCACCTATGTATCCATACACATTCTCATGCCAAGAAACCATAATAAACTTCATACACACAAAATCATTCATATGTACTAAAAACATACTGTCGAAACACACACTTGTACATGTTAACACAGACAGCATCTTTCATAACTTTTTGGTCATTGGTTAGAAGAAAAAAATCATATTACAGTCAAAATTTAAAAGGGACAAATGAGTATGACAAGTGCAGTTTTTACTATTGAACTAGTATTAAAGAATTACATTTCTATTTTTAAAAAAAATGTATGAAAGAGACAGAGACATACCGTAATCATACAATATGTTATTGGGGCTCATGAGGCACAATAGCACACACACAATTAAAAATGGCAGTCAGTCTCCCATAGAAGATAACATTCCCTTTCAAGGGAACTTCGAGCTGCGTCAAACGCTGTGGGAACGCCCCTGCGTTGTGCGTCATGAAGCACGTATGGAATCAGCCCAATGGAGAGACGGAACGTCATAGGCGGGTGACGTCATCGACCAGGAAACTATAAAGCACCCCAAAAACACAAGCGCATCAGCTTCTGTGCCTTCAGTCGCGCTATATGTGAATCTGTCTGAGTGTAAACACTGTGTCTGTCTTTAGTATTTGCTAGGCAGGAGTTATCACATTTACACCACACAAACAATTTTGTATGAGAGACTATGGCGAGCGAACGGCATTTAAGAAGTGTGTTCCTCCCTGCTCGCGCTATCTAACGGGCGGTGATACACACGTTCTTTGTGTTGTTTGTTTGGAAGTGCAGCATGCCCAGTCAGCTCTCGAGGGGGCTGGCTGCGAGCATTGCGAGCGTCTGCCTTTATGGACGCTCCGCTCCCGCCGGGCGCTCTCTGAGGAGAGTGCTCGGTGCGCGCTCCCCGCGGTTCGAGTCCCGCTTCTGCCGAGGCTGAGCGGCGACACTTATCGTGGTGATCGCAAAATGGATCTTTCAGCGGGGTTAGAGACGGGCTCTGCCTTATCTCTGCCTTTACCTGTTAGATCCAGTGTCTCAGCCCGGTTTGGAAGCACGCTCTGCGGTTTCTTCCGCCCGGGCTGAGGCACCAGTACTGCAACTATCGTTATATAGTTATAAAAACTAGGAGATAAAAATAGCAGTATTGACGAGGGAGATGTGGAGGACTCGCCACCTAACACTCCCGAAAGCGAAGAGCTCATGGAGGTTCTCACTCGAGCTGTATTAAAACTAAGCATTGAGTGGCCAGTGGCTAGGCAGGAGTCTGTTATTAAATCTAAGTTAGATGAAAGATTTCTCCCTTCCCGTGTGCAACCTCCATGCCGGTGCTTGCCGTTTTTTCATGATCTCCATACTGAGGTGTCGAGATTATGGAAGAAGCAGGCTTCTGATATAATTTTAGCCCCCAATCATTCACATATTCAGATTTAACGGGGGCTAGGTTTTTGAAAAGAAAAGACGGCGCTTTGCCGCGGGTAGAAGAGACGCTTGCGAGCTATCTCTCTTCCGAGGCTGCATTGTCATTTAAAGCACCGGCATTACCTTCCAAGCCATTATGAAATATTTCGGCTTTGTAAAGTGTATTTGGCGGCAGGTCAGGCTGCGTCGTGTCTGCATACAATGTCTATATTGCAGGCATACCAGGCTGATTTGCTAAAGGACGTGAGTGTGGAGGCAGTACTGACGTGGTTCGAGAACTGCGTCAGGCTGCCGAATTTGTGGTAAAATTATTTTTTTCCAACATGAAACAGAAAGAGAAAGCTTTCTTTTAGATGAACCTCTCTCCCCTGCGGGGTTATTCAGTGACTTAGTTAATACTGTCATTGATAATTTCAGGAAGAAAAGAAGCAGGCAGCAGCTTTTAAAAGGTTTCTTCCATTAAAAGTTCACGTCCACGGGGCTGCTGGGCGGGAGCAGCCCCGGCCGTCCACGAGCTCATCGCATAGGCGCAGCAAAGCAGAGTATCGCGTCTCGCGCTCCCCCTGCTGGACAGTGGGACCAGACGCGGCACTCTCAGCCAAAGCTTTTTGAAAAATAAATATAATATAATATATATATATATATATAAAATAACTAAAAAAAAAGCAATAGAACTGATTTGAGGACAGTTATATTGGCTATGCTGAGGGCGGTCCCCACCGAGGGAGAAAGGTGTTCACCTCTTTTTACGGTGCCCATTCTTCCTCGGTGCCCTCAGGGGCCCGTTCTGCAAACCCCGCCTTCATGCCGGGGCGCAGACGGTCCCGGCGAGCGCTTTCCCGAGGGACGGTCGCTTCCTCTGACACCGAGGGTGGTCCCCATCGAGGGAGAAAGGTGTTCACCTCTTTTTACGGTGCCCATTCTTCCTCAGTGCCCTCAGGGGCCCGTTCTGCCAACCCCGCCTTCATGCCGGGGCGTAGACGGTCCCAGCGAGTGCTTTCCCGAGGGACGCTCGCTCCCTCTGAGGAGGGTCTCAGAGCGGTCAAACCAGTTGTTCCCTGCCGGTGCGCCGTTACAGGGCGCTGTGTTTGCTGCTCAAATTACACCAGAGACCAGTCTCGAGAGACTGGTACCCTTAGTAGAATTTGTTTGGCAGAGTGGAAAAGCCTTCCAAGAATATCTCAGTGGGTCCTGCAGACAGTAGTAAGAGGTTATGCGATCCAATTTAGGTGTCGTCCACCGAAACTCAGAGGGGTTCTGCCCATAGTGTGGGCCCCGAGCAGGCTCTGGTAATGGAACAAGAGGTGAAAACGCTCCTTCAAAAGGGGGCTATAGAACGGGTTCCTCCTCCCAGTTTGGAGCTAGGTTATTACAGCCGATATTTCATCATTCCAAAGTAGGATGGGGGGTTGCGTCCAATTTTAGATTTGCGCCTATAAAATTGCTCGGTAGGGAAGCTTAATTCAAGATGCTAACTATCAAGCAGGTCGTGTCACAAATCAGGTCCGAGGGCTGGTTTGTCACGATAGATCTAAAGGACGCTTACTTCCACATTTCCATACTTCCACAACACAGGAAGTTCCTGAGGTTTGCCTTCGGGGGCGAGGCATTCCAATATAGGGTTCTTCCGTTCGGTCTAGCTATCTCCCCGTACTTTACGGAGCAGATGGCGGTTCGACATCGAGATGTCGTCCTCGCGCATATCAGGAAGTTGGGGTTGAGGCTGAACGCGAAGAAAAGTGTTTATCTCCTTCCCTGGAGACCACTTTTCTGGGCGTTGTTTGGGATTAGGTCACCCGCATCGCTTCGATTCTTCAGCCTTGAAACAGTAAAGCTAGGCCAGCTACTCACTGTAAAGCAGTTTCAGAAACTGTTGGGTTTGATGGCAGCAGTGTCAACGTTATACCTTGGCCTGTTGTACATGAGACCGCTGCGGTGGTGGCTCAGGACCAAGGGATTCTCCCCGAGGGGAAATCCACTCCACACGATCAAAGTCACGCGGCGTTGCCTTCGTGCTCTGGTCTTGTGGAAAGAAACTTGGTTCCTATCCAAAGATCCTGTGCTGGGGGCTCTTTGTCGTCGCATAAAGCTAACGACGGATGCTTCCCTCACAGGGTGGGGGGCGGTCATGAGTGGTCGTCCAGCCCAAGGTCTGTGGCAGGACCATCATCTATCATGGCATATAAATTGTCTAGAGATGTTGGCAGTGTTTCAGGCTCTGAAACACTTCCTGGCAGACCTGAGAGGTCATCATGTGCTAGTTCAGTCAGACAACACGTCGGTGGTCTTTTATATAAATCGTCAGGGGGGCCTGCAGTCTCGCCGGCTTTACAAGTTGGCCCGTCAGGTCCTCCTGTGGTCCCTAGGGAAGTTACTATCACTAGCAATGTATCTTCCTGGGTATTTGAATGTGGTAGCGGACTCTCTGTCGAGGCAGGGGCCGAGGCCGGGGGAATGGAGACTCCACCCCCGAGGTGGTGGAGCTCCTTTGGTTGAGTTTCGGTCGCGCCGAGGCAGACCTATTCGCTTCCAAGGAGATATCGCACTGTCGTCTGTGGTTCTCCATCAGTCATCCAGCCCCTCTGGGGTTGGACGCTATGGTGCAGCCGTGGCCGAGGTCACGTCTGTACGCTTTTCCCCCGATTGCTCTGCTACCAGGAGTTCTGGAGAGGGTTCGCCGGGACGGGGTCAGCCTACTATTAGTAGCCCCGTTCTGGCCGGCCAGAGTATGGTTTGCGGACCTGGTTTCTCTCCTGGACGGCTCTCCTTTGGAGCTCCCGGTCAGGAGGGATCTACTCTCTCAGGCGGGCGGCATGATATTTCACCCCCGCCCAGAGTTATGGAAACTGTGGGCTTGGCCTCTGAGGGGGCCCAGCTCTTAGATTCCGGTCTCTCAACCGAGGTTGTTGAGACCATCCTTCACTCCAGAGCTCCATCCACGAGGAAGCTATATGCCTTTGAAGTGAAAACTTTTCACTTCTTGGTATGGAGAACACCTGTAGGACCCAGTTAACTGCCCAGTGGGTGCAGTGCTGGAATTCCTGCAGGAGCGTTTCTCCACAGGGTTATCCCCCTCCACACTAAAGGTGTATGTGGCGGCACTGGCTGCTTACCACGTCCCTTTCAGTGGAGTTTCTCTTGGGAGACACCCGCTTATAACTCGTTTCCTTCGTGGCACTTTGAGGCTGAGGCCAGCAGTTCGTGCCTGGAATTTTCGCCTGGCATGGTTAAGGCTTTTCTATACCCTAGGCCAGGTTATGTTCCTAAGGTCCCTACTAATGTTGTTAGACCTACAGTTCTGCAGGCTTTCTGTCCTCCTCCATTTCTGTCGTCAGACCAGGAGAAACTTAATTTGCTCTGCCCAGTGAGGGCGTTAGACGCTTATGTCCACAGAGCTGCCCTGTGGAGGAAATCAGAACATTTATTTGTATGTTTCGGGCCACCCAGGAAAGGGTGTCCTGCGTCTAAATAGAGAATGAGCAAGTGGGTGGTCGAGGCTATCTCACTTGCTTATGAGTCGGCTGGTCAGCCTTCACCTTTGGCTGTACGAGCCCGCTCTACTAGGAGTATGGCTGCATCCAAAGCTTTATTGTCAGGAGTTTCCCTGAGTGAGGTTTGTGATGCGACTGGATGGTCTTCACCGTGCAGGTGCTCTCGTCCGCTGTGCGCTAGATCTCACATGACGGTCACTTGCTCCTATGGCGACGTGGGTATTCGCGTTCCCACAGCGTTTGACGCAGCTCGAAGTTCTCTTGAAAGGGAACGTCTCGGTTACGTATGTAACCCTAGTTCCCTGATAGGGAACGAGACGCTGCGTCGTTCTGCCATACTCCCGGCATTCCCGTTAAGCACTCCTTCAGGCCTATCAGAAGCTGATGCACTTGTGTTTTTGGGGTGCTTTATAGTTTCCTGGTCGATGACGTCACCCGCCTATGACGTTCCGTCTCTCCATTGGGCTGATTCCATACGTGCTTCATGACGCACAACGCAGGGGCGTTCCCACAGCGTTTGACGCAGCGTCTCGTTCCCTATCAGGGAACTAGGGTTACATACGTAACCGAGACGTTTTAGCTCTATATAAATATATATTTAACTACACTCTTACAAATAAGTTTAGTGGTTCTTTTAAGCAACTTAGATTCAGCAGTTATCAAGTTCAAAAGTTAAAGAAAAATTTACATTCACTGCGTTTTTGAGCTGGTAATATTTTACAGATTAAAAATTCTTGATGTTACATCATAGGTTCCTTGTCACACTCACAGAAGGGAACAGAGAGATGGTAAGGTGAAATGATTTATTTAAGTAAAAGCAGAGTAATGAGACAACAACGGGAACATAGCTGTCAACATTTGGTTTTCAAAATCCGGGAGATTTGTGTGCTGGGGACCGTTCGGCGCTCGCTTGGGTTAAGCTTTCCGCGACTGCGCAACTGGGTTATAGGTTGCCAGGTTGAGATGACAAACGGGTTGAAATTGTATATGGTGTGTATATTGTGTGAATATAATGCATTTAATACAAGATCTGGCAACTGGTCAACATTAGACAAACATATTGGTCCGATTATTCATAAAGGAGTTTGGGCCATGCACATTACGGGAGTTTATCGGGAGAAATAACAAACCGGGAGGGGTCTGGGAGATAGGGCTAAAAAACGGGAGAAACCCGGGAAAAACGGGAGTGTTGACAGGTATGAACGGGAACCAGACGATGGTGAAAGGATGGTGACCTTATGATATGTGATAAAGACTTAGCTGGCGATGACTGAAGTGGAAACTCTGTGCAGGTGAAGAATGAACATGATGACTGGAGATCTGGATGACGGACAGGAGACAGGAGACTTGACAGGAAGATCTCAGGTGTTCAGGTAAGGAGTCTGTTTACCTAGCAGTGACGTTGATGAGACCAGACACTGATGTGAGGGTGATGCAGGTGTTGATGAGGGAGTGCAGGTGCAGGGAATCAGTATCTGGTGATGATCAGCAGCAGGTATGGTGATGGCTGACTGAGTGCAGGTGGGGATGATGGGAAGTGTAGTGCAGACAGGTTACAGAGTTGGTGACTGAGCTGGTGACTGTGAAAGTACTTCCCCCTCCCGGAAAGCATGACCTTGCACAACAAATGGTCCATTGGAAGGATCATGATCCATGGTGGAGCTGATGGAGGGAGGAGCCATGGAGGCTGAAGGGCTGAGGACTTCAGGGTGGCGAGTGACAGAGGCGGAACCAGTGGGAGAGGGTGACAGGGTGGAGATGGAGGTCTGACCGGCCATGGTGAGACTGAGGATTCAGAGGGACATGAAGCCGATGGCTCTGGCAACTGAGGTGAAGGCGGGGACTCAGAAGGGCGGGGTGGAGACAGAGGACCAAGGAGGAGCTGAAGAGAGTGAGGAGTCCAATGGAGTCTGGGGGACGAGGCGGAGCCAGAGGAGTGCAGTCCAGAGTTGAGGGCAGGTCGACGGACAACCATGGTGAATCCAGGGGGACGAGGGAGCCTGGTGGAGCTGGAGCACTGATGGGCCACGGTGGAGACGAGGGAGGTAGGAGCCAAGGCTGAGTCAGTAGACCAATGGGTCGATGTAGAATCCTAGCTTCGGTAGGTGGAGTGGAAACCCAGGGATCCCCTGACCACGATGGCGCTAAGGGCTGGTAGTCCCACAGCAAGCCCACCTCTCCGAAGGTTTTTTGAGGGAGAGATGCGGGACTAACAGTGGGCAGTAGAGATGATGAGGGCAGGAAGACAGGAGGAGGTGGTAGAGGGAGGTTGGGTGGGAATTCAGGGTTCTGGAAGATGGGACTGGAGTCGCTTCCGAAATCAGGGTGAGGACGGGAGTCGTTTCCAGACTTGGGGCGAAGGCTAAGGATCGGGGCATGGTGGCGACAATCTTGACTGAGGGCTCAGGAGGCATGGCGGCCGCCATCTTGACTGAGGACTCAGGAGGCGTTGTGGCGGCCATCTTGGAATGAGGCTCTGGAACGGCTGCGGCCATCTTGTGACCAGGCTTTGGAACGGCGGTGGCCATTTTGGGACCAGGCTCTGGAACGGCGGCGACCATCTTGGGACGAGCCACCGGAGTGGCGGCGGCCATCTTGAGAGGAGGCTCTAGAACGGTGGTCTCGGAGGGACGAGACTCTGGAGCGGCTTCCTCTATCGTATAAGGCAATCCACATAACCGTTGCAGCTGCAGGAACTTGCTGATACAGGTGATTGTCCAACCCAGACCAAAAGACGGTCTTTAATGTGTCCTCGTTCCAGGGTACTTCATGCGCGTGATCAAGGAACTCTTCTACATAGTCCTCGATCGGCCGAGCATCTTGAAAGCGGGTGAGAAGAAAGTTAACTGGGTTCACCGAGGTGAGGAGGATGCCCATCCTGTGCTTCTTTGAGGTCTGGTCTTCTGTCACACTCACAGAAGGGAACAGACAGATGGTAAGGTGAAATTATTTATTCAAGTAAAAGCAGAGTGATGAGACAACAGCAGGAACCAGACAATGGTGAAAGTATGGTGACTTGATAGGTGATGAAGACTTAGCTGGCGATGACTGAAGTGGAAACTCTTTGCAGGTGAAGGATGAACACGATGACTGGAGATCTGGATCGGGATGACAGACGGGAGACAGAGGGGAGACAGACGGGACGATCTCATGTGAGTGTTCAGGTAAGACTGTCAGTCTGACTGTATACCTAGCAGTAACGTTTACGAGACCAGACACTGATAATAATAATAATTCATTACATTTATATAGCGCTTTTCTCGGCACTCAAAGCGCTTTACATAGAAGGGGGGAATCTCCTCAACCACCACCAATGTGCAGCATCCACCTGGAGGATGCGACGGCAGCCATATTGCGCCAGAACGCCCACCACACACCAGCTTATTGGTGGAGAGGAGACAGAGTGATGAAGCCAATTAGTATATGGGGATGATTAGGAGGCCATGATGGACAGAGGCCACTGGGCAAATTTGGCCAGGATGTCTTTTGAAAGAGTAGGGGTGTAACCCCGGCATCCTGGCCAAATTTGCCCAGTGGCCTCTGTCCATCATGGCCTCCTAATCATCCCCACAAACGTGTCCCTGCTTTATATACAACCACTGATAAATATATTCGGTTTTGAGGAAAAAAAACTATATGAGTGCGGAATAGAACCCAGAACCTCTGACACGCTTGCCCATGAAAGTACACAAGCTGCAGTCACGGATCTTTGGATTTATTCACGTGAAAATTCTCGGCACTAACAATACATATTAGTAGATCTCATTAAATAGCAAATTAAACACAATGTACTATTGAAATTGATTTCTTGACATCGTAATGTTATTTTTTTCTGAAATTTTTTATTGTACACATATTGCACATATATCTTTGGATTGTATTGCAACCTTCTCCCCCTGACACCCCACACACCAGACTGTCCCACCCACTTTTTTAAACAAAATTACGCCACTGGTTTGAGATGTGTGTTCGGTTGCTCGAGTTTTATTCCGTTTTCCAACTGTAAGTTGGTTAGTTAGGAATGAAATGGCTAATTTATTCACTCCTCTACTATTGAATCCAACGTATCATCAGCGCTCGGATTCATTTCCATGGTGCTGTCAAGTACGACTTGCAGTCTGTGAGGTAAACTAAATGCTATTGGCTATTTGAAAAGGGGGAGTAGCCATTCAATATGTCCCGCCTTAGCTTCCTGTTTGAGTGGAAATTACGTCAACGCATCATACAAAGCTGCGCATTCCAAGGTACTTCAGTCGGCCTTTAACGTTTGTCTCAGTCTCACAAGTGGCCAAACTCACACTAAAAACACTAATGTTCCAAAAGACCAGGAAATTAACCCCCATTTTTTTCATCTTTCAGACAAATAATTCATACCTTTAGTGTTCTTTATATCGATCACTGTTCTTTTAGTTCCTGGTTCCTTTAACTGGTCATTGGGTATTTTTGAAGATCTTGTTGACTGTGAAGTGCTTTTTGGTTGTGAATAGTCGGAACTAACGATGTCCACTCCTGGTGCTGGTGCCTCTAGTTGTAGACTGGTTTTGCTTGTGCTAAGAGAGGTGGTTTCAATATATGATCGTAAAGTGGTAAACTGTATTTTTGGCTGAATTTTAGCTGGAGTGGTTATCCCCAAACTGCCTGATAAACAAAAGAAAACATCAAACAGTTTTTCCTCTAGTTTTTGTTAAAGCGTTAATATAAAAACAATGAATTTAAATATAGTATATATATATATATATATATATATATATATATATATATATATATATATATATATATATATATATATATATATAGAGAGAGAGAGAGAGAGAGAGAGAGAGAGAGAGAGAGAGAGAGAGAGAGAGAGAGAGAGAGAGAGAGAGAGAGAGAGAGAGGGGTTGACATTAACTTTTTTGCTCACTAGCCACTTAGTTACTAGCCACTGAGCATTTTCACTGGACACAATTATGACGATACCATGGGGAAAAAAACTGCCATATAGATATTTTTAATGTTATCTCATAATTTGGCAGCAGGTATATTAGGCTGCTGTCACTTTAAGACCGGACACATGGATTCATTATACTGTTACACATGCGTTTTCTTTCTTAACTTTACCTTCACTTCAGACATAGCTGACTGTGTTTAAGTGAATGCTCACCAAGACTGGAATTTTTACATTATTTATTAGAAGAATTATTAGAAGATTTCAAATGAAATATATATATATATATATATATATATATATATATATATTATATAACCTATCAAATTCAAGCAGCCAAAGTGGCTAGTAGGAGTGACTGCATTACACGCCACTGCTGAAATCCACCCGCATTTGACGGGTGTTAATGTCAAGCCCTGTATACAGGGCCTTTATTTCAAAAGTATGTTAAATACACACACACACACACACACGTATATATATATGTGTGTGTGCGTGTGTGTGTATATTTAACATACTTTTGAAATATACACACACACACACACACACACACACACACACACACACATATATATATATATGTGTGTGTATATTTACCACACTTTTGAAATATACTGTAACTGTAATTAACTATTTCGCTATAAATGTTGCTATAGAACTGAGTAAAAGAACATTGTAATTATGGTTATTTAGGTGAACGTAGCATTACTTCATCTGTACTATACCTATTTCCAGTCGAGTCCTGTTTCCGTCCAATTGTCTCATCCCATTGGAAGTGGATACAGGCTTTTCATTGGGTGGTGCAGTTGCAGAAGGGCGGGTCTGGAGTGAAGGGTTGATTGTTGGATTTGTATGTACTGTGGCCAAACTAGCCAGCACACTATGAGCAGTCTGAACTTGTGGTCTGTTCTGGGCATGCTCTCCACCAAGATATGTTATAGCCTCTGTTGACAACCTAACAAAGCGATTTTCTTCAGGTATTACCACATCACCTGACCCAACGGATGACAAGTCTTTTTCTTTAAATTCAGTAAATGTTTCATCTGTCATTGACTCTGTCCCATCAACAGTCTCTTTTTCTTTTAGAGCGGCATCTTGTGGTAGTATGACATTTTGAGTAGAACCTCTTTTCACTCGGCCTTTGTGTGATACTACAAATTTACCCCTTGACCCAAATTTACCCCTTGACCCAGTTATCTCAGTATGTGACGTTTTTGATGAAAATATGTCCTCAGTATTTCTGATTTCAGTCCATTCATTTGAATCTCCAATTGATTTCATGAAACTTTTCCCATAGAAGCCACGAAGAAATGGTCTGACAACTTCTAATGCAGCATTGGCAGTCAGTCCATGATCAGTTTTTTTGACAAGCACATAAGTCTGTTTTTTTGAACAATAGGACAACAGGCTATGATTTGAATGAGTCGTCAGAGAAAGAGAGTTTTCATGGACATGACTTATAATTGGATGAATTAGAGGCAGTAGAAGAAAGAGTTGGAGTGGAGGCACCATACTGTCAATCTGCCATACAGCGAAACTGTCTATGGGTGTGAAATATGCTCAATGTTTCTTCTCATTTCTTCTCCTGCAGAGAGAAACAAATACATTCAAATTAAACTTAATACACTAATACATTCAAATTAAAACACAAACAGTGTTGAAAACAAGCCATTCTCATTGACCAATGATAGAGCATTTGAGAGAAAAATGCCTGTTGAATGAGAAAAATGTATAGACATACTTTGCACCTCAGCTTTTTAATTAATGCTCAAAGAAAACATGATGGATACATATTTTGCTGTTGCTTTCCATTTTATCAGGTAGTTGTTGCAGCCTCAATTCAGTATAGAGCATCCCTATGCATCAACTATTTTAATTGCATATTATCAAATGCTACCCTAGTCAGAAATAGTATACTTAAGCACAATTTATTCATATGTACGACTAAATTTGTGGCACACTATAAATTGGTATACTTAACGTCTATTAAATTGGAACAACTAATTTTGTACTATATGCATTTTATTTTTGTCCAAAAGCAGTGCTGAAGTTCAACAAAAGTTGTATTAAATATACTTGGTTGTGCTAAAGTGGAACTATTCCAAGTATACTTAAAGGATTAGTTCACTTCAGAATTAAAATTTCCTGATAATTTACTCACCGCCATGTATTAGATAATGTCTGTCTTTCTTCAGTCAAAAAGAAAATAAAGTTAAGGAAAAAAATCTAGGACTTTTCTCCATATAGTGGACTTTAATGGGGTACAACGGTTTGAAGGTCCAAATTGCCATTTCAATACAGCTTCAAAGTGCTCTATATGATCCCAGCTGAGGAATAAGGCTCTTATCTAGCAAAACGATCTGTCATTTTCTAAAAGGAAATACATATTTATGTACTTTTTAACCACAAATGCTTGTCTTGCACTAGCTCTGCAATGCACCACACATTACGTAATCACGTTGAAAGGTCACACGTGACGTAGGCGGAAGTATCGATCTAGTGTTTACAAAACGAACATGCTAAGACTAAGTCAAACGCCCTTTACAAAAAAATAAAACATAAATAAAAGGTAAAACAACAATGTTGGACGATTTTGAAGTTGGAGGAGAATATGAGATGGAGTTTTTCGCCCTACCCTACCTTTTCGAACCGGAACACGCGTGACCTTTCAATGTGATTACGTAATGCGTGGCGCATCGCAGAGCTAGTGCAAGACGAGCATTTGTGTTTAAAAAGTATATACTGTCTGTATATATTATAATATTTTCCGAAAATGACCGATCGTTTCGATTGATAAGACCCTTATCCCTTGGCTGGGATCGAGTAGAGCCCTTTGAAGCTGCATTGAAAGATGAAAAATCCTGTAATGTTTTCCTCAAAAACCTTAATTTCTTTTCGACTGAAAAAAGAAAGACACGAACATCTTGGATTATGTGGGGGTGAGTTATCAGAAATTATCTAAATTATCAGAAAATGTTAATTCTTAAGTGAACTAATCCTTTAAGTACACTTTAAATATCTACTCTTGTATTTAAGTTTTGAAATGCAGAATTCACTCAGCATAAACTTCAAATGTATTTTGGTGACATTGCAATTGCAATTCAATTACACTTTATGAGTGTTGACCATACATTTATTTTATACTGATAACAAACTGAGGTCATACTTTTAGTGATTTTAAAACACATTGCAATGGCATTCCAAGTAAACTTGAAGTGTTTTCAAGTGAATCATTATTGTGCACTTCAAATACAATAAAGTAATCTTTATAAATAATGCCACAGCTTAAGAATTTACCTTTTACTGACAACCCCCAGTATATCAGTAACTCACTTATCCGGAGAACATCAGTTAGAAAATGGGAACAGACATTGAATGTAGGAACGGACTGGATTCGAATCCGGGTCGCTGCCACACAAACGCACCCGGTTTACCAGTTGAGCCACCACAGCAGACATGCTCCAAGCTAAACAAGGGCTACTTTGTGTTCTTTCTATTCAGTTACAAGTACTGCTATAAGCAAACAGATTTTTCCATGACAGGAAAGACTGTGGATTTAAAGACTGTGGATCACAGTGAAAAGTCTCAATATAGTAAGTGGTGCGTGAAAACAAACGTGAAATGGCCTGTATAGAACACCAAAGTGCTGTAAACTTGAAGCTGTTGAAGAAATAAAGCCAGCAGACATAACATTAAATATCATCTGCAGAACGTTTTGCTTCCCTTTTACCTGACATGATCTGTCATTAACACTGCAGTAAGCAATTGCACAAACCGGCATAACATTAGTTTTATTCTTGTGCACTCACTAAAACACAGACAGTTCCATTCATTGGTGGAAGAATGTGAACATGCAGAACTGCTAGTGTTTCAGTGCGTGTGGATGGAATAAAACCATCCGTAACATTTCTCTGCCGATTGTCTCTGCGCGCTTCAACTCCCAATGAACAACTCAACAGCTCAACTCCCACAACTGCTCCTGATGTACAACGCAATGAAATGATTTGGCGGTTTGACGGTCTCGCATTACTCTGCGTATTTAAATGTGACGCATGAATTGAAATTATTTTACGTTGATTGATACTTTTCATGCAATTTCTGAGTTTATTTGACAATTAAATTTTTGTGTAATTTTTGAGGACGGGTCAGGATAATTTTAATAATTCGTTTACAGTTTTTTAAAATTGCTTAGACACTAAAAGGGGTACTTGAGGCTCACTTAGTAAAACCATTCACTCATATACCTAATCTTTAGACCAAGTCTGCAAACTACAAGCACATTACGTGCTTTAAACTCAGTTTGATATTGTAAAACAAACTTTTTGCAAAACTCTAAACACAGTTCTCTGCATTACACACATCATTCAAAACTAACAGATCTTGTTTAATTTGGAAAACACTGGCATTTAAATTCCACACTCATTTACATGATTACCTACACCCAATGATCATGTGTGAAAACACTTATACATAAACTGACCGCTTAGAAATCAAAACTCAGTGTTTTGAGAAAGAACAATTTTTTTTACCCCCTTGCATTTCTGTTTATAATGTAAATATATATGTACATAAGCATATATGTATATATATATATATATATATTTATGTGTATTTGATTTGATTTATTAGACAAATTAGTAGTGAAAAATACACTCATTTGTCAAGGATAACACAATAAAGTTAAAAAAAATATTTCCATTGTGATCCTTGATGTAAAGCACAACTTCACTCCTAGAGACAGATTATCATGGCACTGCATACTGGTATATTTACAACACTACAATAAAAATACACATTACCAAACTATACATCATACTTAGACATCATACATCATAATTAGACATCCACCAAACATTAATACAAATAAGTCACTAATACAACTTATCCAATAACCAACTTCTGACTTTCGTGCTAAAACCAACCATATTTGACATACTCTTTATATCTAGAGGCAGCTTATTCCATTCCTGGGCCCCTGAGTATTCAAAAGACCTTCTACCATACATTGTTCTAAAGCGACATAATGTAATGGCCATTAAACTCTGCCTATAGTATTACAACAGTGTGTCTCACATACCCTAGAGATACACATATTAAGATATGACGGAGCTCTTTTATTTATTATCTTGTGTACCATCTTTAATTTAAAGTGCACAACTCTACTTTCTATAGGTAACCACTTAAGATGTCTAAAATGGGAGGCATCAACATGTGTAAAACTATTAAAACCTAAAACCAACCGTATCAATTTATTTTGAGATTTCTGTAACTTAACCAGCCAAAAACGAGACAAATCGGACATCCAAGAAATACATGCGTACTCTAGATGATATAACACTAAACATGATGCAAGTATTTTTAAATTTTGCTTATCCAAAAAACCAACACATCTAGCAAGAAATTTTGTCCTAGCATTAACTTTCCCTAAAATTTTCATAGCCATGCCTGTACCCCTTAAATCATTGTCCAAAACACATCCAAGATAATTAACAGTAGTTATATTTGATATTATATAATCCTCTACCTTGATAATCAAGTTAGTAGCTTTGTTCAGTTTACTTCTCGTCCCAAATAATATGGATTCAGTTTTTCCTAGGTGCAATAAAAGTTTGTTATCAGAGAGCCAATCTCTTACCCTGCAAAGCTCCTCACCTAATCTTACTTGAATTTTAGAAACATCCTTATCAGAATCCAGTAGAGCAGAGTCATCAGCATATAAAAACATATTACAATCACAAACAGCTTGCATGTCATTTATGTATAAGAGAAATAAAAGGGGACCTAGGACACTTCCCTGAGGAACTCCATTATCAATATTTGTCTCTTCAGAGAGTACCCCATCAATTATTACCCTTTGAGTTCTCCCAGTTAAATAAAAGTTCAACCAGGCTATGACCATACTAGAAAAACCCATGACACTTAATTTATCCAGCAATATTGTATGGTTCACTGTGTCGAAAGCTTTTTGAAGATCCATTAGTACCATTCCACACATTTTACCTTCATCAATCTGTTTTCTTATAAAATCTGTTAAATAAAGTAAAGAAGTATCAGTCGAATAAGATCTTCTAAAACCTGATTGAAATTCATAAATTAATCCATTCTTACATACATATTGATAAATCTGTTTATGCACTATCTTTTCTAAACATTTTGATGCCACACTAA